CATACAACTATGGCTATGTATACACCATGGTAATATGCTGAGTCCTCATAAAAGGCATTTTTCCTATTTCCTTCAGTCTTTTAAGTACACACATTTATTTAGATGCACTACTTAAAAGGTCGCTTGATCGTGCTGCTGAAAAAGAAGAAAAAAATTAGCACTCTGAATGTGTACGAGGTGGATGGCATACAGTATAACGAGTGTTGCACGCAAAATGCCTAAGTTTGCAAACCGGCGTCAACCAATTTATGAAAACTTAGAAATAGTAATGAGCAACATTAAGGCACATTAAAAGAAGCCTAAAAAGTCCAAAGTGGTTGCTATGAGAAATAAAATTTCCCCATAGTCCCCAAGTTCCGGAGACGTAAAAAAAACAACAATAAATTACAGCAATAAATTTATATATGTACTTAAAATGAAAACGTAAGGCAACAACTTTCTTTATATGAAAAGAACATTTCTTTAGTCAAATTTTTATACATATTACCATTGGTGGATAACTATTTATTTAATGTCGTCCTTTAAATTCTGGCATAATTTCCAGCGTTCTCTGTGTCTTCATGCGTTCATCCATCAATTGAGCTTCTATTTGACGTTTACATTAAAGTCTAAAATAAGATGTACATAAAGAGCATTTATCGAAAAGTCAGTTTTTGGATGTTAGTTCTTATGAAGATGGCCATGTGGATCATATTTCGAAACGTCTCAAAACAGCAAACCACATTGTAGAGCGTAAAGAATGTCCGCAAGATAACTCTGATATTGTCACTCCTATGATTAATAAAACTCTATAATAGGTTACCTCTTCAAAAAGTGCTTTAATTCCATATTCAGCTGACAAATTTCTGCGTATATTAACTTTGTCCACCGCAATGTCAAAATTAAAATGGAGCTGTTTGAAAATTTTGTAATTTATCTGAAGATAAACGATTCAATTCGACTGTAAATGAAAGAACTTACTTTTCTCTTTTTAATGGGTTATTTTCCGCCATAGTGAATTACTTCCAGGATCTGTTTTAAGCTTGTGAACGCAAAAAATGGGTGGCCATTTTTTGAGATAATTATTATTCTTCTGCCATTTCCGTTTCTAAGTAACGCATAAGCGGAAAGTATAGTTTACAACAAAGTATATTTCTACATGACTTACATTCACATTACCTTCACATATACGGACACTTTGCTTAATTGCCATGTAGGCGATACGGTAAAACAAAATGCGACGAAAACTTTTTGTCACTGAGTTTTCTGCAAAAAACTTCACAGATGAGCTAAGCATAATTTTTAAAACACAACTCGTTTATTCTTTCTGAATGTGGACTCACTTGCGTATGAGCAATTGCGGACAATATTTTCGGGTTCTGGAAGGGTTATGTTTTACACTTTTTTTACTTATTTTTGAGTTCTTCCATAGCACAGTGCATATTCATCAAAAGTTCGGTTCTGTCATATTTATTACCATAGAAAATTCCTTCGATGTGAGACGACTCGCAATTTCGCCAAAATTACTACATATTACCCTAAATAAACTTAACTAGATGGCATTCGGTAGATTAAACCTACTCAGAGGAGCAAAATAACCTGACCAAATATATGCTAAGCTTCCAAGTTAAATTTCTTCAAGGAAATTGCATGCAGGACTCACCAGACTGTATATCCTGTCTAATTTTTCGGTGGCGTCGCTGCAAAACCGCACTCTAATTTGCTGGCGACGACAACATTACATCCGACGAGTTTATTCGCGTTTTATCTACTGTTTGCTGTTTATATTTGGTATCTTTCTTTCTCTCCTGCGTCCCCGTATAATCTCTATTATCACCGGTCGCCTATTACAGAATTATTAAGGTTTGGCTCGCATGATGAGCCCTATTATAGTCTGTTACAGAGTATATTTGTTGAATAATATTTTTTTTCAAGAACAAAATATTACAACTAATGTAATGCTCCTATATTCATATTATTTTTCTACTATGTACATACTGCATAGTTACTAATACTCCTACTATGTAAACAACTTCATTTAACTCGCTTTTCATTAGTTACGACTTTCGTTTATAGTAGAACAAATCATCATTTCTATTTGATAGCACAGCATGCAAAAGTAATATTTTCTGCATTTCCATCGTTAGGGTATTGCCGATGTTTGAGATTATATGATACTATGCTGATACTTATAAGCTATCCTTACCAGGTTCTGTCTACGGCAAATTGTTCCGCCATTCCAGCTCACGTGTTTTCTGCCCATTTCCTAGAAATGTATTTTGTAATCTTGTATAAGTCGATCCAGTCCTTTGTCTGTGCCAGCGGCTTCCGTATGTCTTCAGGGCATACCTAAAGCATGTTAACTAAGTTCAAGATGCGTCATTACTACAGAAATTCACTCTGCAACTTCCTGACACTTGACAGCTGCCCATCCTCGCCGGCCGGTTGTAGTTTCCGCTCAAAGATGATAATGGCTGTGCTCCATATGCGACGCCCGCTAGGACGGTGTTCCCCAGGGGAAGGAGCCTTTGATTATTTTAGCCTTTTGCTTGTAGGCGGATAAGCCTTGGCAGGACCGTTCTCTCCAGACTGGGTAATCTTGTATAACCATAACCCTCCCCAAACAGGAGCCGCGCTCCGTTGCATGGACATAGTTTCTTCCCCCAACACACACACGACAGTTTTCCCCGCCCATTTCGGCGATGGGCAGCCGCGTGTTCCAACAAACCGCAGCAAACGCTGAAGCAAGCCAAGGCAGACACTGAGGCAAGCTGTACGAAGGCTACGGCAAGCTAAAGCAATGCAGCAAACTACCGCGAATGAAAACAGGAGTTAAAGCAGACTTGCAGACTCGCTCGCCGCTCC